TGGGGAGGACTACAGCCGTGGGACTGGTCTGGGGACGGACTACAGCCGTGGGACTGGTCTGGGGACAGCCGTGGGACTGGTCTGGGGAGGACTACAGCCGTGGGACTGGTCTGGGGAGGACTGACCTCTGAGGAGGACCCTCATGCACGGCAGCTGGCCGTAGTAGGCGGCCTCGTGCAGGGCCAGCCAGCCGTCGGCGTTGGGCTCGCTGAGCCGGCCCCCCCGCCGGCCCACCAGCACCGCCAGGGCCGCCGCGTCTCCGCTCACCACCGCCGACTCCACAGGACTCAGCTCTCTGAGGCACAGCACCATCAGGAGGAGCCCGAGGCCCGAACAGTCCCCATCCCGGAGGACTAGCATGTGGACAGGAGCTGCTCCGGTTTACTGACCTCTTTAGGGGGCGGTAGAGCGCGGTGGGGGGGTTGAGACAGTGTTGGGGGTTGGGGGGTGGGGCTGGAGGGATTTGCTGGGGGGGGGCGGGGGGGTTGGGAGCAGGCGGGGGGGCGCGGTTCTGCTCAGGTCCGGGCGTCTGATGTGTGTCCGACAGACTTCTCTCCACAGCGATCTGCAGAAGCTCCTCGTCTGACAGCTGGCCGTAAACGCTGTAGTCGTCCCAGTGCTCCGAGGCGGCCATTTTGGCTCCGGCAGACGCCTTCACCTGCCAACAACAGCAGGTGAAAGGCTGTCAGGCTGACCCAGAGAGGCCGTCCCGTTACGGCTCTGGCCTCCACATTCAGGCCACGGCTGCAGGAGAGGGATCAGTGACCACGGCCAAAACACACACACACACACAGCCGCACAGGGTTGAAACCTCTGGGGAAGTCTTCTGGGGGCTTCCGTCTGTGTTTGCGAAGCATCTGAAACACAAACCAGCAAAGATCACAAACACCGTGATCAGCAGCAGGGCTCATAAAACTAAAAATAGACCCTGTTGCTTTGGTGCTTTCGAATAAGGTCAGGTGAAGAGCTTTGCCTGTCCAGCAAATGCCCCCAAAACCTCAGAATCAGTGCAAAGACTGGAGACCACAGACTCCCAGCAGCTGGGGGAGCTGGACAGAGTCCAGAACACAGTTCTGCACACAGTGTACAAAAACAACAGCATTCAACTGGAAAATGACATTTACTGTTGAAAAGAAAGCCCAAATAACCACATGCAACCCCCAACTAGCAGCTGGAGACCAAAGATCAAAGCCACACAGCAGAGGGTTCTTCACCTGGGAACAAAGCTCCAATCAGAAAGCAGAGGGTTTGGATCAAGTCTCCGGAGGCAGCAGATTGGACGTCCAAAAGTTTAATCTAAGTTTAATCACGTCTCCCTGCAGT